CGGGCAACTTGCTTTTTTTGGTTTACTTATTTATTTATTTTTGTTTTCGTTTTGTTTTTAGAAGGTTGAAGCAAACCAAACCCACAATTCAGAATTGTAACTTGATGATATGCAAGGGAACTAGGCTTGAAAATCTCATCTATAAAGAAGAAAGAGAAGAGGATAGGAAGAAAGAGAGAGAGAGAAAAAAGATGAAGGAAAAGAAGCAGCAGAGGAAGAAAAGAGAAGATGAGGTGATAGGTGAGAAAACAAAAAAAAATATATATATATATATATATATATATCTATATTATATATATTATTAGAGAGAGAGAGAGAGAGAGAGAGTTGCTGACATAAGTAGTCTGACCCGCCAATCATACCAGTTGGATTGCCCAGACCGAAAACCGGTCATTTGGCCAAGTCACCTTTCAATCTAGGTTTCAAAACATTGGTGGAAAAAATCCCAGTTTTTAAGATACTCTCCTCATGGTGTTAATAACCCTGACATCAAATACCATGTGTTTTCACATTCTTCATAACCTTGAATTTGTTTTTACCCGTATATTTATAGAGTTATGGGGTATTTTATTTCTAATAGGATTCATATTTTAATTCCCATTAGGACTCCTAAATTATATTCATATTTACAATTGTATTCTTTACCAAATAGTTTTCCTAAAGACATATAATTTCATATGGGAACTAATAGGAAATCGAGCCACAATATCCCAACAGGTTCGCCATTTGCCATTTGGTTTTTTGACGAGCACGAGATTTGCGAGCCAGTTTGAATTCTTAACTTCCCGAATGAACTTGATTTCAAGGAGCTTGTCAACTTTTTCTTTGAGCACTCGAGAGCACTCTGTATCCATTGCCTTTCTTTTCTGGCAGATAGGTCAAGCTTTCGAGTAGATATTAAGATGGTGGCAAATGACCTCGTGGCTTATACCCACCATGTCGGTATAATATCAATTACCCTTCTTTTTCTTTTCTCTTTTCTTTCATTCTTTTTTTTTTTTTTTTTTCTTTATCTGACCCATTTTCTTTTTCTTATTGTAAAATATCTTGTTTCTCGAGTTAAAAGCCCTTCGTTGTTGTTATTATATTTATTTCTATCCAAGGTTCTTAGTGTGAAATATGCATATCACTGGTCTTAGGTTGGTTGCTTGTTGCTTGACAATATGTATTCCAAACCTGAGATTCAAAGGGTAGGGTTTAGGGTTTATTGATAATCCGAAGTATTCACTACAAGAAAATAGGATAGTGCTAGTTGTTATATGGCTTATCAACATTAAGCAATTTCTTGATATTCTTTTCAAAACTAAGAGTTCAGAATTTGTTTCACAACGTAAGTTGCACAAACATGAGTCATCTTGCTGCTCTCACCGACGAGTATAAAGTAATTATCCCTATATGTTGATGCAGTTTTTACACCAACGAGAAGTACATAAATTTCTTGATGAAACCTACACAAGGGTTTGTAGTAAATTGATATTTTAATATTGAAATAGTATGAAAATAACAAGCAAGCACACTGAACCGGTATTACTTTTTCTTGTGTGTTCTCCACGTACAAGCGAGCTTAGCTCTTAGCACATATGAGACGGTCTTTAATAGCAGGAAAAAAAGGTTTTTTAAAAGGTCTCCCATTAGGGTGAGAGATCAATTTATATTGTTACATTGATGGATCTACACATAAGGTAATCCTCAAATAGAGTGACATGCGGCCTAACTGACAGCACAACCTTGAGACTTACCAATGAAGTAATCCTTGGTAGACTTATAAATGAAGCAACACTCTCATAGAGTGACACATGGCCTAGATGATAGTACAACCTTGGGACACGTGGTGTGAATATATGGATTTACCACATAACACTATAAATATGGACCTCTATGAGTTGTGGTTATAACAAGAGTTAGAAAGTTTCAAACTTATCTTAAACAACTGACATCTCTTTAATATTAAGAAGGTTTGTTCATTATCAACTGTGAAAAGTAGCAACCTTTCCTTGCCATCAATTATTCGGAATTATAATTATTTTTTTTCTTTTCAAAATCTCTTTCCACCTTATAACCTTTCCTTTCTAAATCTTAATCTTGAAACTGACATCCTAAAATATTTACGTCGAATTATTTTCATAATTGATGGTGATATTTATTATCTCCACTGTAACAAAACCTTTGGGGATAGAACAGAGGTTCAAATGGCATTGCAACTATTATTATAAAAAAAAATAAAAATAAACAAGCGAATTAAAAACTTGGTTAGGCCTGTGAAACTAATTAACATTAAGTTATTAATTTTGATTAACTGAAATTAAAATCAGTAGGCTTGTCGAAATTCTTGTGACATGAGTTTCAAAGCAATGAAAACACAAAGGCAATAAAGGAGGTGAATTTTAATTAATTTTTGTGAAAGTCCAATAATTTATCTCTTGCTGAGGTCATTGTTAATTAATATCTCTAAGAAATGCGGAGATGTTAGGGTCGAAAACGGCCAAATGGCCATCAATCTGGCTAAAAACAATCAGATCTGTGCTTGTTTAATGGCCATGGATTTGGACAAAAATGGCTAGATCTTTTCTGGCTGTTTCCGACCTTTGATCTACCCTAAAACAGTCAAATAGGCACACGGCCGGCCAGATCTTTTCGGTGGTGCACCATTTCAACGACTATCACTAGCAGCCAATAGTCGTCTTTGGTGATTGGGGGTATTTTGTTAAATTTTAATCTTTTATTGTGGAAGTATTTTAGCTACATTTTCAAATGTAAGGGGTTAAAAATAATACTCTAAGGAGCCGTTTGGATCGGGGGTATATAAGATAAGGGGATAATCTTCGTTTATTTTGCAAGATTTCGGTGTTTGGTTTGCAAGTAATAAAAATATTACAATAATCTTTTATTACAAATAGTGTTTACTATTGGTAATGTGGGGGGTAATCTTATTACCTTGCTAGGGGGTGTTGTTAAAAAATTACTTGGGTAATCTTTTTCTACCCATTTTGCCCTTAATTAAAAACCATTTTGGACACAATTGTTCTCAAATATCTATCAAATAACAATTATCCAGCTCCCTTACATTTGAGAAATTAGCTAAAACACTCCAGCCACAAAAAAGTTAAGTTAACAAAATACACACAGCCACCCAAGACCACCATCGGCCGCCAGCGTCAGTCACCGTAATAGTGCAAATCGGCGAGATCTGGCCGATCGTGCGCCAGTAAGGCCTTTTCCTACCATGGATCATAGATTCATGGCCGTGGTTGGAAATGGTGAGATCTAGCGTAGATCTGGTTGTTTTTCGGCCATGGATTTGTGATGCTTGGCCATTTCCGGTTTTGTTGGTGCACCATCGGCCATATACAGCCAGTCGTGTGCCACTCTGTCGATTGCTGGCGACGGCTCGTGATGGTGGCTGGTTGTCAACAGTGGCTTGGGATGGGTGAGGGTGACTTTGCTACAAATTAAAGTTTTATACGTTTGGGGTGTTTTAGCAAAATTTCAAATGTAGGAAGTTAAAAGAAATGATTCAAATAATAATAATAAAAAAATAATATTATATTAATATTTAAAAAGGAGGGCATTTTAGTAATCTATATAGTATACCCACACATTTATCCTTCCAATCAAACATATTATTCACCAATTTATTCAAATCAACCAAACACATTAACTAAACATTCATAGTAATCTTCAAGGTAATCTTTTTTTTTGTTAATATAATATTCCCGTATAATAAAATATTAAATGATCCAAACGTCCCTTAAATAATAATTTTTTATTCTTTACAACCAAACATATTAATTATTTATACCTACCAATCTAACCAAATATTTTAATATAACATTTCACAGTAATCTATCTCACTAGTAATCTTATATTTTCAGTAATATAACATTGTCGAACCAAACGCTACCTTAGTATAATAATGGCACTTACACACCCGGTACATATTATAATTTTGAAGTCAATGACAACTTAACATGTCTATTTAATTTAGAAACGATGTAGCTTATTAATTAGAGTCTGTTTGATGCGGTTTATAGAAGAAGAGGTTATTAGAGTGGACCTTATGAAAATATAGTTTTTATGAAAAAATTGTTAATTGTTTGGTTAAGAAAATGCAAAATAGGTTTTTATACCAATAAGGGTTTTAATATACAGAAAAATCATGTCAAATTCATAAAATATAATAACATATATATTTTTTTATATTTCAACAATTTAAATAAGCTTGAAAAAAGCTTATAAGAGAAGCTCAAACATAAGTCCTAAAATAGCTTATTTTAATTTTTATAAACACTTTTGAGATACAATTAAGTTAAAAAAAAATTTTAAAAATGCTTATAGCTTTAAATAAACTTTTGGTCAATATATTAACCCAATCAAATGAGACAAAAAAAGGGTGAACATTTTACTAAATATTAGTGTCCATTCCCACGTTGTTTACACGTGCCATTAATTAACATTTATCAAGAGTTTATGACTTTTTTTCACCCAAATAATGATTAAATAACATTTTTTTATCCATAGATTTTTAAAATATTATTTTATTACTAAAATTTATATTTCGACAATGAACAGAGAACAAATTTGAGATTTTGAAAAGGGAAGACTGATGAGTGTTTTGGTGGTAGAATGTTGGATTTTAGTAGTTTGAAAACTGAATCGTATAAAAAAATTAGACTAAAATTGATTCGAAAATTCTATTTTTTTTTTATAAACCAGTTTGGTTTTGATTTTTAAAATTTTATAAACTAATTATCCGATTCGGTTTATAAATTTTTTCAAACCGGTTAATCCAAACCGAATTTTAAAATTGGTTTAAAAAAAGAGTAATATTTAATATAGAAAAAGGTGTCCTATTTAATATTGTCAAGACCATGGGAGAGTGTGCATCTTACGTTTACGAGTCAAACCAAACCAAACCGCTAGGCGTCTCTCTACATCGCATGTGTAGATGTGTATCTCGTTTACCACTCATTGTTTTAAAAAACTAAAAATGTAGTATTATAAAAAAATTTATTTGTAAACCTAAACCCAATAAAAAATTAATAATATAAAGAAATCATTTAGTAACTTTTCATGGCCAAAGGCCAAACTGTCTACGGGTTGGGGGCGTTGCCTGTTACACCCCTATCTCTATTGATCGGGCAACGGGACCATCGAATCCATCTGCATAGCCTATTAATATTGAAGTGGTCGACAAATCCAACACTTTTTCTTTAATGCCTTTGCTGCCTTCTGCTGAGCAATGGAGGGGCTGACTAAGTAGCGATCTTTCCTTTCCTGTACAATAAACCATCAATGATTCCGAATTATTGTGATTTGAGATTTCAAGTTCATGAAATAAATGCTTCAGGTATGATGGATATAACAAGACATATGAAACCTCTTAAAAAAAGGGCGAGGGATTTTTCAAGGTGTTTACAAAGCAGCAAACAGATTGAACTATCCACACCTTTCCCCTTTCCTATACTCAATCCCACAATCAACAGCCATCCGAATTGATATTGTAAATCATGTCATGCATTTTCACACAAACTGGTTCCTAGAACTTCCTACATGTTCGGAACGAAGAAGAATGTAAAAGGAAGTCACCAATATGCATGATTGTTTAGAATGTCCGATGCAAAATCATAATATGATACAAATTCAGAATAAGATGTTTGAAGTTCGCAAGTTATTTCCATAATGCTATGTCAAAGAAGAGAAATTCTATTTGAAATTCTCAAGGACTCCTGTTGAGACTCCAGAAGAGTATCAAAATATACTAAATGGCCCAGAACACCAGCATAACTGATTAAATTAATAATCAACCTGATTTTGTTCTGCTTGATTTAAAATGACCTCGAAGGGATTTGGCCTATGAGTTTTCTCCACCACTTTGTTGTCATGAGAGGTTCCCTGAATTGGATACAAAGAGTGGATTGAAAAGATTGCAGGTTGGTGTAGGAAGACTCATGTTTTTAAAAAGACTACCAAGAAATCCTGAAGGGAAACTGGCCAAAAAATTAATACCGCAAAGTACTAATTGATTGTCAAGAATCAACCTATATTGAAATGGAAAATAAACTAAAATGGTTAGATTTTTAATATCATTGTTAACTTGAGATTATAAAAGAAATCGAGAACCTTCTAATCTCGATTCCAGGAGAAAATTGCCACGAAACTAGCAAGAACTCTGACACCGGCCATATGCAATCTCGAATCTGGCACCAGAAACAAATTGGCTATTAAGTAAAATTACAAACCGGGAAAGAACAAGAAACCAATATACATTAAATGGAAGAAAAGCACCTACCAGAATTTTCCTTTAAAATTTTGCTCCAAAATGACATCCACATTAACAAGGTTTGAAATAAGGAAGAAAAGCATTTTGAATGGCTTCATTCTCCCATTTCAGCTCCTTCCACCAGTTTTCACTGCCGCTAATAACAATTTTCTGTCCCTTTGCACTGTTGGAATCAAGTGGAAGCTTCTTTAGCTTGGGGCATCCACGTACATAAAATTCCTCCAGATGTGGGAAGCGCAACGCCTTCCAATAAATCCTCTTCAAATTTGGTAGAATTCGTATGTTAGCAGAGTGGAGTTTCGAGAGAAGGTTTAGATTTTCCATCATTTCTGGAAATTCTTCACCCAATTTTCTGCCACTTATTATTTCTTCCAACTCATAACAACTTTCTATTTTAAGATACTTGAGGTTTCGAACAAAGACAACCCATGTCAAGTCCCTTATTTTGGAGCAAGAGACTACTTGAACCCTGTTGAGGTCGTGGAAATGATAAGGCTCTAGTGTTTTTTGTACTACCTTTAAATGCTCTATCTTCAACTCTTCCAATTTTTCACAATTTAAAATGTTTAGTCTGTGAAGATACTTGAGATCTGCTAAAGATGAAACATCAAGTGTCCTGGAATCATCAAAGTATCGAACCGATAGACCATGAGTACAATTCTGAAACTTCCGGGAACTCAGAAATCTTTGGAGAGCATAACGACTTTTTAAGGTAATACTCAACACATTTAAAGAATGCAAACCAAGCAATTCCTCCAACAAATATTCACCACCACCAAACAGAACGCTATCTTCTCCTATTTCTTGATCAGAAACATTATAACTGCAGCCGGTCATTCTCAATATATGCAACGCTGAAAAATGGGATATCAGATTACGCGGAATTGTACAGAGATTCCGTGTATTCTCCAGGATGAGACATTTAAGACCTACCAAGGCTTTTAACTCCATTGGTAACTCTATTATTGTGGTCCATGATAGATCAAGATATTGCAGTGAGACCAAATTAGAAATCCCAGAAGGTAATTTGGTTAGAAATTTATTATATGATAGCTTTAAGACTCTGAGAGAAGGCATGAATTGAAAAAAGCTACTACTAATCATCTTCAGGTTATTATGATTAAGAAACAAAGTTAAGAGATCAGGACAGGTAGGAGTCACTGATAACACCTCAATTTTGTTTTCCATCAAGGATATCCTTTTTATATCTTCCCATTCTTTGACCTTTGGTGCTCCAGTTAATTCAACACCCACCTGAACTAAAAATTTCTGCTGCTCCTCCTTAACTTCACATGCTATCCACAAAGCCATGTCACGAATCACATCATGCATTTTTACATAATGTTCTCCCCTTATTTCTTCTTCTTCCAATAAACAGGCATGAACAAGAACACCAATAATGTAGTATCCGTGGTTGTGTACTTCACTTTGATCATACACATCCAAAATGTTCTCACCAAGCCAACAATCTATCAATTTAGTTTTACGTATTCTAAAGTGTTCGGGAAATAAACTACAATATAAAAAACATGATTTAATCTTGTCATCAGGCAAACTATCATAACTAGACTTTAAAAGAGGATAGACCTGCTTCTCCATACCAGGAAATTTAGACGGTGCTCTCCTTAACATTTGAATTGCATATCTCCATTCTTGAGGTGTCTTCTTGAAAGTCATGGCTCTACCTATAGTGACGAGTACAAGTGGTAGACCCCCACACTCTTTGGCCACAATTTGAGCTAATTCCAAAATATCAGGATGATTACTAAGAGTTTCTCTCCCAACCTTCTTTTCAAACAATTTCCAAGCTTCCTCTTCCCCCAGGCACTCCACTTTAAACTTCCTATTAACTTCCATACGGCCGCATACGTCAAGAAAGCGAGTAGTGAAGACTATTTTACAAGCAACATTTTCACTTGGAAGAGGTATACCCACTGTGGTCAAATCAACCCTCTCCCACACATCATCTAATAATAATACAAACTTTTTGTTCCGCAAAATCTTAAAGATGTCGGATGCTTTGTCTTCAACACTTTTATTCTTCCATGACTCTTCAACCAACCCTATCTTTTGCCCAATCATTTCTTGAATCCTGTCAACTTGCAAATCTCTAGACACCACTACCCAAATCACAGTGTCATAATCGTTTGATACATTGAGAAATGTATTGTTAATTTGGGTTAACAGGGTAGTTTTTCCAACTCCTCCCATGCCGTAGAGACCAACAATTGTTACTTGTTCTTCCTCAATAGATCTCCAAACTTGATCAAATATTAATTGCAAACCCACTATTGTAGCCTCACTAGGCTTTACCTCCGCTACTGATAGTGGTACCTTCTCCGCCACCCCTTCAAAAACACCTTCACCCTTCAAAGTAGCCACAACTTTCAGCTTTCCGGCCACTTTCTTCCCAAACTTGTAGCTTGACTTGCAATTCTTGGAACAGTACCCTCCAAGACACAATTTCTCAATCTCTTGAGATCTAATTTCTTGCAGTTCACCAACTTCAACTTCCACATTTTGCACTCTTGAAAGCCAGCCTTGCACTTGGTCCGTCCGTTTCATTTGTTTCTGTTCAGCAATGTTAACCCTCCTCATCAAATCGTTTCTTGCTTCAAGTAGCTTCTGCAATTCAGTCTGCAAGGCATCTAGATTATCTTTGAGCTCACTTATATATGCAGTTTTTCCTATAGCACAATCTAAACAACGAGTGAAAACGGCGTCACATGAGACTGAGGCCGAGCAGACGTTACCCATCGATTTCAACAAGGAGAGGAGGAAGAAATGAATAATCGTAGACTAATGAGAAAAAAAAAACACCCNCACTTTGAGGTTTTTAGTCTTGTGCAGAATATCAAAATGTCATTATCATACATAAAGAGAGTATCATATACCAATTTTCTCTAGTTTGTAGATTCCATGCTAATGAAACCAATCAAGTTTAGATTTTGGAGCTTGGATGAAATTTATATGTTTATACTTCCTGGTCACTTGCATAATTTATTAATCAATTCCTTGGAAGCTTAGATGAATTATCTACTGGAAGGAAATTAGTGCTGCTTTACCGGCAATCAGACTTTCGACGGTTTTATTATCAACCCCCTGAGGGATCAGCTAATTTTAAGTAAACCGGGTTTTGAGAAAGTATTAACACAGCCTATTGTTTCAAAAACCCGACCTGTTAAGGGACCCGATAAGGTCATCGGGTCTCGAGTTGACCGGTCCGACTAATTAAATCGGTGGTTTGTCGGTGATTCAAAAAGTTTAAAAATCTTGCAAACACACCTGTGAAAAATACAAGTCAGTCCCTATAGGTTTGAAATCTAGCAAATATCTATGCGATTTGTTTGGGTTTTGACTTTTTTGGCTGATTCTGGCGACCAAAATTCAATCTGACACCACCACCTGAACCATTGTCCTTTACTTTACAAAACCCCTCTAACCCCGAAACTTGGTAGCCCCCTGTTCGTCAATCGTGACTCGTGTATATTGCCATGATTGAGTCGATTTTTTTGATCAAATTTCGACTGATTCCGGTGTTTAAAATTCAATAAAATACCACCACCTAAACCATTGGCCTCCACTCTACAAAAGCCCTTTAACTCGACACTTGATAGCCTCTTGTTTGCCAATTGTGACTTGCATATTGGATTGAATTTTTCGACCAAATTTCGTCTTAGTCCAAAGTCCAAAATCCGACACCACGCCTTGAACCATCGGTCTTCACTTTACAAAAGTCTTCCAACCCCAACACTTGATAACCTCTCGTTTGTCGATGATCAAATTAGAAATTTTATGAATAGTAAAAAATAGTAATTCAGACCAAAGAGGCTACCGGTCTTGATTGGACCAGTCCGACTAGCTGGTCCACTTTGGGTTTTAAAAGTGTAACAGCTCCCTGCAGCAGTTAAATTTTAGGGTTACTTCCATTTTATACATTAAAGTCATTTTACTCTTCTCATTATTTACCAATTTTTTTTTTTTTAATTCCAATTTATTTACTAATTTTTTTTTTTTTTTTTAAGGAAATTCATGTTCCTTTTCATCTTCTTTCCTTCTATTCCATTTTTCTCTTCCATTTTCTGCGGAAAATTCTCACCCTTCATAATTTTCTAGGGAAATTTCTCATTGTTGCACTTAAAATTTGCTGCAAAATAGGATGCAAAGGTTCCTTGGGAGTGGACCATAAACTCCCATAATTTGAAAATTCTTAAACAGCTAGCACCACCATTCCAAACACCTTAACCAAAAAAAAAAAAAAAAAAAAAAAAAAAGAAAAAAAAAAACAGTTCCTTAAGCACCCAGCACCTAACAGTCTCAAATTCTCAAATCAAGAGAGCAAACCTCTGAAAAGGTGGAGGATGAAGCTGAAAGATCTTTCGAGAGCATGGCCACTGTTGTTGGTCCTGAGAGGCTGAGACACAAAAAAGAGTACAAGATCCAAGTGTTTATTCGTCTCTGTTAATTTCTCACTACAGTCATCCTCTCCACGCTCTTCTCGAACCCACATTCAAATGCCATCAATATTATTATTTAGAGTGTACCAAATAACCTGCATTTCTCAAAATAACAAAAGCACATAAAAGGTAATCGTCATTGTTGTTTCAAAAGTCCAATGTCTCACATCTTCAGATCAAATGTTAGAAGTCCACAGGCTCCATGATGCAACTAAAGCAAACCAAAAGGATAAATATGAATTAGCTCTACAAAAGAAGCACAAGGAGGAAAATCTTGCAGATATCGAGTCAAGAAGCTCGAGCCCTACACTGAAAACAAGATGTCCATTTGAGTTGCAGCTTTCTAAAATATACACTAGAGAGATATTCAAGAAGTTTCAGTTCCAGGTGGAGGAGATGTATTCTTGTTTTAGTACAACACAGTTACATGTTGATGGGCCAATCATAATATTTTTGGTCAAGGAGCGCGTATTGGGTGAAGGAAATAGGAGGGAGATCAGGGACTACGAAGTTTTGTACAATAGAACAGCTTGTGAGGTTCGTTGCATCTGCAGCTGCTTTAGTTTTTATGGGTATTTATGTAGGCATGCTTTGTGTGTGCTTAACTTTAATGGTGTGGAGGAGATCCCTTCAAAGTACATCTTGTCACGGTGGAAGAAGGACTATAAACGCTTGTATATTCCTGATCATGTGTCCAATAACGTTGATGCCACTGATCGTGTGCTATGGTTTAATCAGTTATATAAAAGTGCCTTGCAAGTTGTGGAGGAGGGAGTGATTTCTCTGGACCATTACAAGGTTGCATTACAAGCTTTTGAGGAATCGTTAAATAGGGTTCATGATGTTGAAGAAAAGCAAGAATAACTAACGATGCAAAGGTGGGAGATTTTTTGTAAATATTATTCCTTTCTTTATCCTATTAGTTCTCCCCCCCTCAGTTTGTTCACTTTTGAGGTTTTTAGTCTTGTGCAGAATATCAAAATGTCATTATCATACATAAAGAGAGTATCATATACCAATTTTCTCTAGTTTGTAGATTCCATGCTAATGAAACCAATCAAGTTTATATTTTGGAGCTTGGATGAAATTTATATGTTTAAACTTCCTGGTCACTTGCATAATTTATTAATCAATTCCTTGGAAGTTTAGTTGAAGCATATACTGGAATAAAATTAGTGCTGCTTTACCTGCAATTGGACTTTCGACGGTTTTTATTGTCAACCCCCTGAGAGATCAGCTAATTTTAAGCAAACCGGGTTTTGAGAAAGTATTGACAGCCCATTGTTTCAAAACCTGACCTGTTAATGGACCCGGTAAGGTCATTGGGTCTCGAGTTGACCGGTCCGACTGGTTAAATCGCTGGTTTTCGATGATTCAAAAAGTTTAAAAATCTTACAAACACACCCGTGAAAAATACAAAGCAATCCCTATAGGTTTGAAATCTAGCAAATATCCGTGCGATTTGTTTGGGTTTTGACATTTCCAGCTGATTATGGCAACCAAAATTCAATCTGATACCACCACCTGAACCACTATCCTCTACTCTACAAAACCCCTCTAACCTCGAAACTTGGTAGCCCCCTATTCGCCAGTCGTGACTCACGTATATTGCCGTGATTGGGTTGATTTTTTTGGCCAAATTTTGACTGATTCCGACGTCCAAAATTCAATCAAACACCACCACCTAAACCATCTGCCTTCACTCTACAAAACTCCTCTAGCTCAACACTTTGATAGCCTCTTGTTTGCCAATTGTGACTCGCATATTGGATTAAAGTTTCTGGCCAAATTTCGACTTATTCCGATGTCCAAAATTCAATCCGACATCACCCCTTGAACCATCAATCTCCACTTTACAAAAGCACTCTAACCCCAACGCTTGGTAACCCCTCGTTTGTCGATGATCAAATTATAGATTTTGTGAATAGTAAAAAATAGTAATCAGACCAAAGAGGCTACCGGTCCTGATTGGACCAGTCCGACTCGCTGGTCCAGTCTGGGTTTTAAGTTTCTAGGGAAATTTCTCATTGTTGCACTTAAAATTTGCTGCAAAATAGGATGCAAAGGTTCCATGGGAGTGGACCATAAACTCCCATAATTTGAAAATTCTTGAACACCTAGCACCAACTATCGTGACACCTAGCACCACCGTTCCAAACACCTTAACACACACACACACAGACACACAAAAACAATTCTTAAGCACCCAGCACCTAACAATCTCAAATTCTCAAATCAAGAGAGAGCACACCTCTGAAAAGGTGGAGGATGAAGATATTTCGAGAGCATGGCCACTGTTGTTGGTCCTGAGACACAAAAAATAGTACAAGATCCAAGTGTTTATTCGTCTCTGTTAATTTCTCACTACAGTTACTTTTCAGAGACATCCTCTCCACGCTCTTCTCGAACCCACATTCAAATGCCATCAATATTATTATTTAGAGTGTACCAAATAACCTGCATTTCTCAAAATAACAAAAGCACATAAAAGGTAATCGTCATTGTTGTTTCAAAAGTCTAATGTCTCACATCTTCAGATCAAATGTTAGAAGTCCACAGGCTCCATGATGCAACTAAAGCAAACCAAAAAATATTTGAAGGAAGATGCAAATTCTTTGTTTTCAACCGGAACCACCACCACCACCACATAAAGTTAGCGCGTTCAAAAAGCTAATCTCATGTTTCTGAAAGAGTATAAAAAATCCAACCTAAATTGATTTACAAAACAAAAAAAAAAAAAAAATGCAATTTTCAGATATCTCAATTAACCTAAATGATAAAAAAAGTAACAAATTTGTTCCAGCGTTGGTGTTGGAGACCAATTTCTCCAACCAGCTTAGGCCACATTGTTCTGGCACTGCTCTGGGCGTCCGCAAGCATGGTCTGAAATGCCACTTCGTAGTCTCTTACACCAGGTCCGCATTGGAGGTTGCTGCTTTTCCAGTGATGTAAACCTTTGAATATCAGATGTAGGAGAGAATTTGTCAAGCAACTAGGAACCATTCCTGACACAAGGAATGAAAACTCCACATACAAGAATCTGTCACCAAAAACAAGCACATGATAGTGAATTACACACTAGAAAAGAAGATGTTATAAACCAAATGAAAAAGCACCTACCAGTGTTATTTTAATGTCCTTTAATCATGAATCAGTAGATTCAAAACATGGAAGAAAAACATTGTAAGTGGCTTCATCCTCCCACTGCAGCTCTGCACTTTTGGAATTAAGAGGAAGCTTCTTAAGCTTTAGGGGTATCGCCACTTTTAGTTCCTTTAATTATGGAAAGGGCAGTGCTTCC